GATCTGGCCTACATTCTGAAGGCTTTCGTTCTCAGGAACTGGAAATATATTCGCAGAGCTAAAGAGAGCACGTATGGTCAAGATTAGGGCTGTTTAAAATATAAATTGATGAAATTTCGTAATGCCATTGATAATTGTAAAGTAACTTTCAGGTGTAGTTTGAAATCCTGAGCATAATGCTACTTTTCTTTTTTTTAAGGTTAGTTGCATGTCTTCTCTTTTCTACCTTTGGTAAATTTTGTTTTGATAAACCAAGCTGTGCATGTTGTGCTTGTCCAGGGTTAAGTTTGGCAATTCCACAGTTAGTTGTGATGGATTGTACATTCACTGTTCTTACACTGCAGATTGTGCTAGGGTCTTTCAAGCTGAATTTGCCAGTCCTTCTGTCAGCAGCCTGTGATCAGGGCTGTAGAGTGAGCAGTCTTTTCTAAAACAGAAGTAGTAACAAAGCTTTCAGGAGAAACATTTTCTCTGAAAGCCAATGTAAATGTATGTAGTTTAAAATCCTGCTTTTCTGAGTCTAAACTTCCTTGTTTGCCTTCTGTCAAGGCATTGTTTATCTCAGCTTTTTTCCTTGTTGCCACCTTTTTCAATTGGGACAATTTTGTGGTTTGCTGGAGAGAGGCCAAAATTGTTTTATATGTTTAAGATATGTCTCAAATCTCTTTGCATCTTTTTGTCTTCCAGGCTTTCCAAGCTCTCTTTTTCTGTTCGTTGTATCTATTGAATTGATTATCATATAATTACTTTGAGTGGTTATCACAGAGTAGCTCCAAATCATTGCCACTGTAAATGTATACAAGTGAACACCTGCACTTCAGAGTGCTGGTTCAGAGTCTGTTCATATCTACAGAGGTCTTGGTGTTTAAATTTAGTTTTAATGTCCAGCCTAAACATTTACAGGAGTGCATTTCTAGTGGCCACCTAAACAGAGGAAATATCAATAATCTGTATCTCTGTTCTACTGCTCTTTGTTAGGTACTACACCAAGTAAGTTATCCGCAATTTTTCTAATCATAATTCACTATTTCTCATTTTTAGGTTAGAAAAGGAATACACTACAATAAAGACAAAAGAAATGGAAGAACAAGTTGAAATTAAAGTAAGAGTCTCAACAAATTTGTTTAATCCCTAGATGTGGGGTTACGTGTTTGATCTGTATATGTAGCAGGACATGTAATTGAGGTCCTCAAATTCATTTCTTTCAGCATTTATATTTGGGATGTCTGTTCATAAAGAACACTTACAGTGAAATTATTGAGACTTCTGATGGGCATTTAAAGAAAAATCTTTTATGGAGACCTGCTGTACTTAGTTTTCATTATTTTCTCCTGACTAAAGCTTGATTACAGATAGCCTTATTTTATCAGAAGTTCTGAATATGCTGGTTTAGATGTAGGTGTCCCACACAGGAGGTTAAGATAGAGTTTATCAGAATGCACTTGAGTGGTTTGTCACTGATTTTGAGATTGTGATTTTTCTTATGCATTGGACCCAAGATTGTCTTCTGTCTGCAGTCACCTTTTCTTTTGGAGCTTTTCTGCAACTGATACATAATGTGGAGAAAAAAACACCTTGCGAGTGCAGTTTGTTTTCCTCTTACTAACTGACCTACTTTGCTGTATGTACTTAATCACTGCATCTTTTGCTTTTGTGACATAAATAGGCTTTTGCTACTTTTTTTCCTTTTACACGTTTTTTTCACAGCATGGTGTTTGATCTGAATTTGCTTTCTTGTGTCATGTTTTTAGCTCCTTCCAGGAGAAAGGGGCTAAAAGTTACCAAACGGTAACTTTATATTCTAGTGTTTTGACTTATTTCAAATCCTTCCCTGCCTCCATGCCCCCCCCCAAAAACAAACAAACAAACCAACCAAAAAACCAAAACCAACTGACAAAACCACCACCAACAAAAAACTAACAAATAAAACTCCAACCCAACCAACCAACTCCAGCAACCCAAAACTATCTGTTCCTAGGCCCTGCTTTGGGACCTTATGTAAACCATTTCTGACTTACTGTCTTCTGCTAAGAAGCTCTGCTGTTTTAGTGTCGTGGGTTAGGCTGACCCTCCCACACAGCTGGTCACTCCCCCTCCCCCACCCCCAGGAATGAGGGAGAGAATTAAAGGATAAACGGGAAACCCGTGGGTTGAGATAAGAACAATTTAATACAGATGATTTAATACACAGTGTAGGTGCTCACCACCCCCTCGTACGCGAAGCCCGTCTCGTCCCGAAGCTGCAATCCTGGACAAATGCGAGGCCCCGAAATAGAGAGGGGCAGAGAGAGAGAGAGTACTTCGAGAGTGGGAGTACTGGGAGAGAGAGAAAAAGAAAAACAATAGAGCAAAAGCGCAGCAAGTGCAAAAGAGCAAAAGTGGCGAAAGAGCCAAAGCGCAAAAGCCCTTCTGTCCAGCTGTCCCTCACTTTTATACTGGGCATGACGCTGCATGATATGGAATACTAACTGGCCAGTTTGGCCCTCAGTCTTAAGTTTCACCACAAATCACAAGGGGAATCGTGTTCCCCTTGTCCCAACTATGCTCCCCCCTTATCCCGCCGTGCTTCTGCACTCCGGCACACTGAAAAGTCCTTGGAGTTTCACATCCAACCACAAACATCAACTTGCTATCAGCATTCTTCTCAGAGCGAGCCTCTGAGAAAAACCAAAACACGGAGCTCTTCTAGCTGCTAAAAAGAAGAGCTAACCCGGTCCCAGCTAAAACCAGGACATTTAAGGAGGTGGAAAAAGAACCACGTTGAGTCTGCCTCTTAGCCTGGCAGAATAAAACATTACTGAACTGGTATCCATGTCTCTGTTCTTAGCGATACAGGTCTTTTCTATCTGAATGTTGACTGCTAAAACTTATAGGAAATGCCTTGGTAAAGTATGTAATTCAGTGCAATTCTTTCTCACTTCTGAGGCATCTGAGTTAAATAATTCTCAGTATAGCTTTACAGATTAAATAAATACTATTATATAATGTAGCATAAATTACTGAGAGGAAAAAGCAGGAAACCTTGTAGCGCTCTCATTAGCCTGTCCAGTGCAGGGAGTGTACTTTCATGTCCCTTAACCATGAAGACTATGTCCAGCTCTGTTTATGAAGAGGAGACTGTTAAGTCTGATGTGTGGTTAAGCCCTGTTGTTCACCTGCAGACGTACTGCTTTCATCTAATGCAACACAGATGCTTTTGTGTGACACAAGGTTTCTCATCTTTGCTGTATCAAGCTATTTAAACTCATCTTTTCAGTTAGTGCATTACATAAAAGAATGTTAAAAAGGTCACTAATTATTTTGGTATTTATATTGATTTTCATAGATGTGATGAGATAAAAACGTTGTTACCTTGCTTGGCTTTTATCAGACTTCTGATTTGTAACTTGAGAATTACAATTCTGAACTGTTTATCTTCCAGAGGTTGCGAACTGAAAATAGACTCCTAAAACAGCGCATTGAAACATTAGAAAAAGTAAGTATGGTGGTGATTAGATTTAATTTGTGTTAATTTATACTTAAATTGATGGCAATTTTATTATATGAAATGAGAATCTCAGAACTATAGCTTACTGTTTTTCCTGCTAATCTGTGGTGTTTACTAACAGTGTTTAGCCAAATAGCATGGCAATAACAAAGCCATTAGGGTCAGTGCTTGTAAATGTTTAAGGTTGTTATGTCAGGCTCTTAATGAATATGAAATCAAACATTTTGACATATCCGACTTTTGTTGTACTGTTTTCTTTCTGAATTAGAAGCATCTGTTCAAAGTCCAGAAGACCACCTGAAATAGTGGACTGCTTGGGTGGAAAAGAGGTTATTGTGAGAGAATCGTCAGTTTTGAAAATCTGAAGTTGCTGGGTGTTTTTACGTAGGAGCAAAATGACAGACCTACCAGTGACCAGAGAGAGATGGAGATGAAAGCAGATTGTTTCATCGCTAGCGAATACAGCAGTAGAGGGGTGGTGTTGCAGCATTCACACTCCGTACAGGAAGTCTGCTGCCATTAATTTGTTTCACATAGTTTTGAATTTTTGTAGCAGTTTTGGGTACGTGGGGGGAGAATATTTTTTAAGACTTATTTCTCACGGATTTACACTGGAGTAGAGTTTTGTTAGGCTTCTTTATAAGTGGATATAACTTTAAAAGTATGCATGATAACTTGTCAATACATTGCCAACATGCAGACATTGTTCTCCAGTGGCCTCTCCTATATTCTGGTATTGTGCTTCCTGTGACAGACTGCATCTGAACTGGGCTGCTTTAGAATGAGAACATTCTTGTACATTTTAACCATAAATAGCAACTATCTTTCAGCAAATGAAAATGAATGCTCTTGTGAGTTGCAAACAGTTTTTCATGTTTCACAGGGAAGAAAATGGTAAAGATTCAATTGAGAGTGACATCATCAAAAGATGTCACACTTCAGATGTTAAATCCATTACAGTTTCTTGGGAAAACAGTCAATCTATGTCAAGTTCTAATTAATCAATTTCTGAATGTAGTTTGGAAAATACACATAATGAGGACATCTTGTGTGACATTTAGGTGTGACCTAAAATACAATTTTATAAACATCTTTGTTTCTAATATTGAAGTGCTAATAAAATTAACTGAAAAGAGCAGATTCATCTTATGAAGTCTGAAGCTGTAGTGACTCTCGTCAATGCTCTTGGCAAATTTATAATAGTAAATATCCCTGGTTTATACTTACCTTGCAGAAGTTTGAAATCAGATTTTTTTTTTTTTATTAGAAAGTCCATGATGAACTGCCAGATGCTAGTGCTTTTGCAAATTCTGTACTGAAAATTTCAGAATTCACTTTCAGAGTATCCCATTCTGACTGGAATTAGAACATTTCAAAATGGGAAAATACCATCTATTAATAAGAATTTCTGAAGATCATTATCATTACAGCATCTGAAAAACAGATCGTAAGGTGTGAACAAATACATTCAGTTTTTCTCTTGGAAACTTATTTTTACTTGAAAATATTTTTTCCTCATCCTAACCTATATTATTTAGTTGTGATTTCCTCAGTGTACCTTAATGACAAACATCTTACCTTAACTTTGAAGTAACAGCTCTTATCAACCAGGTTGAACTCTAATTTTAATAAAAGTTCCAAACACAAAGATCGTCTGCGAATAGATGTGTTCTCTGTTGTAGAATCTGCAAAAATTGAGTGCTTTCAAGGGTGATAGGGCGGGGAATGTAGTGCTTGTCAGTGTGCACAAAAGAAAATTTTCTTTTTGTAAAATTTTGGCAAGGAAAGAGAATCTATGAACTGCTCAATGGAGTTACTGCAAAAGTTCAGTAAAACAAATTATTAGCTGTCATAGTTGAAACTGTCTACTTGTGTCTGTCAGTTTGCACCATTTAACTTCTGTGCTTCATCCTTTTGGAAACTTTAGTTCTGTATGAGTGTCCCAGTGCTTAGTGGAATTTCCTTTGTGCTCAAATTGTGCCTGCCTTTCATGTTGTGGATGGGCCACAGATGACATCTTGCATCTGTCTAGTAGATTGTATCAGATAATGTCAGAGTAACTTTTGTTAATTAGGGAAGCAAGCGTTCAGATAAAAATACCCCGTCTCCTGTAGGTGAATTTTAAGTATTATGGAAATCTGGCTTTGACACCTTCCTGGATCAAAGATAGACTGTGCTAAATCTATTCCAGAAAAGGCTGCTTCCTAGGACTTTCAGGCTGAGTTGCGTTAATTTACATGAAGTTGCTAATTTTGCGAAATGAGTTTGTACAGAAAATGGGTAGAATTTGGGCATTTTCTTTCTCTCAGCTCTTGTCTTTTTTGGTCACTATTATCACCTCTTTGTTTTTTGTTTTTTTCTTTTCCTTATTCCTATCTAAATTTTTCCTTTGTAGGAAAGTGCTTCCTTGGCAGATAGATTGATACAGGTATAGTCTTTTACTGTATGACTCTCTTCCTACTCTCAAAAACCCCAAACCGCTTTAATGCATGCATATTTGCATGCTGTACTGTATCTCTGCTGATCTGGAATAAAAATAGAGCTAATCTCTTGCTAGCAACTTGTTTAATTTTGTTTACTAAAAATATGTAAACCCAATACCTGCACGTTAGAATATTTTTCCTAACCTAATGTAATTTTTTTGTATGAATTCCTGGATTCTATGATGCTGTATTAACACTGAAATTGAATATTGTGAACTTAAATCTGTGCATGTACAACTGAGTAATATTGCATGAAGGGAATTTTACTGAATGCAAGTACGTAATTGTGCTTGCTAAATGGATGCTGACCTTTGTAATAAAGTACTAAAGCAGCTGCTTGGTACTACCTTGTCCTAAAATTTTTACCAATTGTACTCTATGCTGTTTGCAAAACCAATCCGATGAAATAAGCAGCTAAGCATCACAAAGGCATTCTTTCTTGGATTTGTCCTTAATTGCTTAAAAAAAAAATAAATTATGTCCTAAGGGACAAGTGACAAGGGCCCAGGAGGCTGAGGAAAACTACCTCATAAAACGGGAGCTGGCCACCATCAAACAGCAGAGTGATGAGGCCATTACTAAACTGGAGCAAGCTGAGAATACCATCAGGGAGCTCCAACAACAGCAGCAATGGGTAAGGAGCCTGGCAGCACATCATCTCATCTTTGTCACTCACTTGTGTTTATTTTTCCTCATCATGACATGGTCTCTGTGCTGTCATTGTAAATGCTTGTTCATTGTGATTTGCGTTCTTAAAAATTACACAGATTGGACTAAGTGATATTTTGGTCTCTTCTTACTGATAGATGAGATTGATAGCCTTGGGTAGCTGTAAATTATTAATTTTTTAAAAAAACCCAAACAACCACAACAAAACACACCAAGCTAAAACCCCAACAATAATAAAAAACCCAACCCAATCTCCCACACCCCCCCAAAGAAATACTAACAAAAACCACACACAAAACCTTTGGTAGTTCCTAACGCTAGGAAACTAGCTGTTGCAAATTGTATTGCACTGAATACTCAAATTAGAGAGTTGATTCATAATGCGTTTACATAGCTTCTCGTTTAAGTCAGTGTCTTCCATGTTGATGTTTCTTCTGTGTACCTATTTTTTTTTACCTAGCATGCTTAAATTTGCTGCTTGCAAAAATAGAAGGGTGCTGTCCCTGAGTTTGGAACTACAGGAGTTTATTAAAAGATGTGGGGTTATGTGGAAATAGAGCAGGAAAATCACTTTTAGCACCTGTATGCAGTACTATGTATGTGTGTACTATGTGTTTTAGGTAGTATAAGGTGCAAGACTTCAGACTGTTACTGTGAGACTGAAGATACTTTCTCTAAGCTGCTTACAAAGTGCTCAGTATCTTCTCCTGAGAGAGGGAGGACAGCAATTTCAGCAGTCTTCACTTGCTCAATAAACTGTGCACTAGCAGGGCTGATGTGAATATGCTCATTTTAAGTAAGTGGTATACAAGTACTTGTCTGAAGCCCTGGGCCTTTCAGCTGTGTGGAATGCAACTTTTTAGAACTACAGCATACTGTAGCTGCTTACCAGATCACTTATATGCAATATAGCAGTTTGTTTTACACATTTCCACAAAGCTCTGGAAATACTTGTATCTCATCTTGGAAGGTGGAGATGAGCTTTACTGTTAGAATGGAAAGAAATCATAACTTAAATGCAACATTATAGAAATAGTTTGTCTGTTTAATGCATTTCAGTGTAAAAAAGGTACATCTTTTAGAATAGTTACAAGGAGTTATTAATGAGCTGTTACTCTGTAATGTGTAATGTTGCTTCTTATTTAACTTTAGCAATTTCTTTAGGGGAAAAACATAAAGAAATTATGATTAGGAAGATGATGATGTTCTAGCAATGCTTCCCAAAATTTTAGATACATTGTAATCTTTCAAGTGAAATAAAAGGAAACATGCTTATAGACTGGAGTAGCCAGCTGTTTACTCTCTGATTACAATAGTACTGGTGCTTTTGGAATATGTTTTTGGAGGCATCCATGTTACTCACCTGTACTCAGTTAAAAGTTATTAAAAGAAACGAAAATGTTATGTTTATCTATTAGTTAATCGATGGGTAACATGACTTTTAAAGCTAATGCTTGTAATTTTGCTGGGAACCTTATTAAGTAGTGGTGATGGGGAAGCCTGGCAGGTTGGCCAGGCATGGGAACTGGTCCTGAGCAAAACTATAGATAACTGTGGATTGTAGCTGTGAGGGCAGACAATTGGACAGGTAACTGCAGGAGTGGAGAGCAAGTAAAATGCGAGAATGGGCGGTTAAGAGCCACACTTTTTACGCTGCATGTTTGCATCCTTGTTTTCCTTCACTTAAATGTGAACATGACTATAGGAAATAGTCTGACTATACGTGGAACTGAGGCTATAAATCCATGTGGTTATAGAGGGATTTGTGCCTACTAGCTGACTAACATTGAAGGGTAAGGAATTAGTACTGTGGTTTTGAGGACTGCCTGAATTAACTTAGACAACGGGGTGAAAGTGTTAAGATGGTTTCAATTAGTAGTTCCCTAGATTCTGCTGCATTAGTAAAATTTGTAATTGAGCAGGCTTTTAACTTTGTTTCCAAGCACAGAAATAGGAGCAACAGTGCTCATAACAGCAAACAGCTGCATGCGCTTAGGACACCACCTGGCGGGAAGCTGGTATGTCTTTGGAATTTTGGCATTCCACTTTTAAGTAGAGTACACTGATAAATCTTTTAGCCGCTTCCCAGTGCAGGTAGCTTTGCTCTGGGCAATACTCCTCTTCAGTATTGTCTTATGAATACTTGCTTTAATGGTGTTTTCTTCCTCCAAATAAAATTTAAGTTTTGTTTATGATTAGCAAAAATGATTGCACAGTGAACTTACAAATGGCTGCATAGTTTATCTGTACTTACTTAAAGGTACAGCATCTATCCTACGTATTTTATAATCTGTGTATTTTGCAATATTGAGTTGTCTGTTTCAGCGTGGTAGAAACTGTAAAGTTCAGCTATGAATTTCTGAATAGGAACACATGAAACAACTGCCTAAGGAGACATAAGGCTGCCTCTTCTGAACACCACTATGGGATAAAAAAAACCAAACCACCACGGTCCACTTTTGCTTGTAAATTATGAGGCAGGAGAAATGAGAGTAGGATTTTTGTTTGTTTTGTTGGTAGCAAAAACATTATTTAAACCATAGTACTTCTAAGAAGGCTAACATATCCTTTGTAAAAAGATTACACATTTGTATTTAAATATTATCTAGGGTTTATTCTATCTGTTCTATGAGATTTGATAGCACAATTGGGATGGCTTAAAGGTTAAGTATTGAAAGTGCCTATAAGACATGTGCATATGAAGAAGTTCTCCCTTGCAGCACTGCTTTGTAAGCCTGAAGACAGAGGTGGGTAGAGGAGTATTCTTTTGCCTGAAGTCCAACACCAGAAGCCCAAATTACATGCAAATTTAAGTTTTCCAGTGCTGAAGTATTTATAGGGAGTTTTCAGTTGAACTAGAATGACTCGAGTCTACTTAGAGGTTGTTCTTACCATTGTTTCTTAGTGAAAGGAAGTTCTGCTATAGTACTTCTCTCAGACGACCTGAAAATAGTACTAATGATTGTATAATAAGTCACATAATAAGTGGCATCAAATATATTGTACATCTTTCTGAAAATACTTAAGGTCATTTGGAAAGCAAAAAAGAAGGAGAAAATAGTAAGGTTTGAGATGGAGACTTCACACTTAATTTTACTTTGGATGCAAACTTTTAGATCTTAGTAGACAGTAACTCTGTCAGTATAAGGTAACCCATACAATTTTTTTATATTGATAACTAGGAAGAAATAATTGTGAAGTTAATAATATTCGGAAGTGCTCTTGGAGTTCACTGCTTCAGCTACCTAAACGTTTGCCTGAATGGATTTTGAAGAGAATGGTACTAATCTGTCTTTGATATGTCTAATCTTTAAGCATAGAAACTTGCCAAAGGCTTCTATATGCGGTGGGTAACCAAAAGATTAAGAGGAAGGTGGTTTCTTCCTCATACTGCTAGTAAATCAAGAACTGCGTAGAGGAAGTTGTCCCTCACTTAAACAGAATACAGAAGGCTTTCTTCTGAGGCATGCTAAGAGCGATAGCATTTGAGGAGTTAGGGGTTAGGTTAATCAGCATATTCTGACCTACTCCTGATTATTGTGTGCTGAAGTTGTTTTTTTTCTCTCTGTTCTTTTTTCCTATTGTATCTAAATGAAAAAGGTAGCTTCTGGTGGATGTATAAAAATGAATAATCTAATTATTTCTGTTATTTAAATATACTGCTAGAACACAAATCTTAGTCTTTCCCAGTGATACTCTAATTTTCAATGATTACCCAGTTCATCAGTCTGAATGCGTGAAAATTGAATCTGAGAAATGAGAAGCAGTTCAAGATAAAAGTGCTTGACATCTTATTTTTAGAAGACTCTAAGTATATTATGTGAAGATAGAATTTTAATTGGCTAAACATTCAGATGGAAGCATGTGCATTTTGCAAGGTAATTTATAGCCATGTATTTGGTTATTGTTACAACAACTCCATAATACATAGTTTCTTTTCAGGAACTCATACTAAAATGATAATAATTAAGAGCATAATAATTGATATAGGGAATATATGCTTGAAAATAAGTGTTACAACCTTATGGAAAGCTTCACTTTATTTTACAATAAACTTTTTTTATATTATGTTCTGGTTTGCAACCAAAAAGCAGAAAATTAAAATACTGTATTTGGTAAAGTACTACAGTTAGTGCTGAAATGTGTAAACGAAGTAAGCTGGGCAGCTGCTGAATGATCTGTTAGTTGCCCTTCAGTAGAGCGTACTGGAAAAGCATTCTGTAATTACATGTAATAATCTTTCATCGGTCAAAATAACATTAGGAATGGTGTGTCAGTATCTGAGACTTTACTGTTTCTGAGATTTTAAGAAAAGTTGAGGAAAAATAAATCCAGTTGCGTGAAGCCAAACAAAGACTTATTTCTTTCAGAAGTAAATGGCTGTAGACCTACATTTTTGGTGCTTTATATTACATCTCTTCAACACAGCCAAGAATAACAGTGTTAACTGTGGTTAAAGCATTTGACTGGTGTCTGGAAATCGGGATTCACGTTGTAGTTTATGTCACAAATTCTAGGGCTTAAGGCAAATATATTAAAGCAGGTTTTTTGCTAAAGTAGTCAGTCTTAAAGTAGTTTTCAAACATTGTTTTGACTATAAACTTGTGTTACCTTTATATACTAAATTATTAAAATTGTGTGTTGTTTTTTTAAGGAGCAAAAATCACAACTTTGAACTTGTGAATATTGTTTTTTAAATCTGTTTTGATCTTGGCTGTGGGTTTTTTGCTTGTCTTTCAAGACTTGATTTAAAGTTTGTTGTAGCCACGTAGATAAGTACTCCTAACATATTCCTTAGGCAGGCAAAATCTAAAGACAGATTTAAAGAAGGCACAACTTGTGCCTGAATTTGGGTAAGTAACTTTTCTTACAATCTCCATCAATTCTTTTTTGACATACATCAGTTAGATTTTTGTAGTCCAAAACTATTTAGAGTATGCTTACATATAGTTGCAAAATCAGGTTATATCCAGCTCTTCAAATCTGCTATTTTCTTTCCATTTCCTGGAAAGTACAAGAGGACTTCTTACCTGAGGAGAGCACACTGCATTTGTTCTTGTTCAATAAGTACCATAAACAGAATTGGAACAAGAAACATAGAGTTAGTTTAGGTTGCTGTGTGTATCATCTGATGAACTTGTACAAACAGTCAGAGAAAAAAAAAAGAGCTGTCACCTGTTCTAGAGGGTCCAGAGGAGGGCCACAAAGATGATCCGAGGGCTGGAGCACCTCTCCTATGAAGACAGGCTGAGAGAGTTGGGGTTGTTCAGCCTGGAGAAGGCTCCAGGTAGACCTTCTAGCAGCCTTCCAGTACCTAAAGGGGGCTACAAGAAAGCTGGAGAGGGGCTTTTTGCAAGGGCGTGTAGTGATAGAACAAGGGGCAATGGATTTAAACTGAAAGAGGGCAGATTTAAATTAGATATAAAGAAGAAATTCTTCACTGTGAGGGTGGTGAAGCACTGGAACAGGCTGCCCAGAGAAGTTGTGGCAGCCTTGTCCCTAAAAGTGTTCAAGGCCAGGCTGGATGAGGCTTTGAGCAACTTGATGTAGGGGAAGGTGTCCTTGCCCATGGCAGGGGGCTTGGAACTAGATGATCTTTAAGGTCCCTTCCAACCCAAACCGTTCTAGGATTCTCTTAGTCTGCCTGTTGTTACATATGTATGCTACTCAAGCACCTGTATCATGTAAAGGAATTGTAGAAATGAATCAGTATTGTCCACTCATCCTCTCCTTACACTCAAATCAGGGCTACCTCTACTGTTTGCTGAGACATAGACATTATGTAGGTTGAAAATAAGGCAAGTTAAATTAGTGTTGTATAAGGGAAAATTAATATTAAATATACAATGATCTTTGTACAAATGTCCTCTGTGTGTTCAAGTGCACAGTTAAGTAGAATGAGCACTTAAATGGATTGTCTCAGTGACACTAAAGACTTTGGGCATGAGCTGTATTTGCTTTTTAATGCTTTGTATATATCCCCTCTGTTATAGTTCCCTGTACACATATATAGAAGAAATACAATAAATTGTAACACTAAAGTTAGTGCAGATTTTGAATTTGGATTGTGCTGTAAGTCATGATGAAAGGTTCAGTTGGCATGCAGAAGTATAAAAATAAATTAAAAACCATTTCCTTGACCATGTAGTTACATGTTGTAAATCCTTATTTTCTCCTCTTTGCCTTTGGTTTGTGAATTAAAGGTCAGGGAGTGTCCTACCCTAAGAAAAGCATACAGAACTGAAGACTTTTCTGTTAATTTTGCCAACTGTTTTTAGATGCAGGAAACTAAATTGTTCGATGCAAACATAAAGTAAGAAATAGTTGTATCTTTAGTGTAATGGATACTTTATGGATTTAAAATTTGCATTGTTAATTTAATAAAATTTCATCTATAAATCCAAGTGTAGTATTTATTCTTCACAATGTAGTTAATGGCACCATAGAACTATTAAATTATTTCCCTTTAAACTTAATTTTCAGGATAGCTATGCATACACTGTAAGTAGGCAACTATGCTTTAGGGATTTCAACACCCCCTTTTTTTTTTTCCCCTAACCCAGATATTTAAATGCTGATTTAGGATGGCATGGCCTGCCCAGCAAGTCTGACAATCTGTGGTGAATCTCAAGTCATTTTAAAGTGACCCAAGACAGAAATAAAATGTAATTTGTAACTACTGATGGGAGGAAACAGTTAAGTGGGGCTTTTGAATACAAATGCTTAGAATGACTTCAGTTGGATATATCTGTTGAAAGATGCAGTTTCATGAAATTGTACTTTAGCAAGTGAAAGGATAGATATTTTTTTTTTTTTAATTCCAGATAATCAACAATCAAGAAATAAGTTAATGGTGAATTAACTTACTTGAGCAGAACTGTGTTTTTTTTTTCCCCTTCCCTAGTTTGGAAAGGGTGATCTTAATTTTTGAACTACTGTTTTATTTCCAAGGAATTGTGTTTGGGTGTGCAAAGCTGGCCAGGGATAGTGTTGGAGTAATTCCTGTATGGAAAGAACCAAATTTCTTTGTAACTTGAGCCTATGGTGTCTGTCTAGAAGCAGCTATACTGCTACTTGTGCCTGTATTTTTCTCCTAAATCCACAGGGCTTGCCCTAGAAGAGAATCTCAGAGGGAATTTGTATAGTGGGGGCAAATGAGAGCCAAGGGTTGAAGTGGAAGAAACGGGCAAACCATAGTGATGGTGCATTGAAGCATACATGGCTTTATTTTAAATCCAAGATCATGGAAGGCTTCTGTTGAATGAGAGTTTAAGTGAGTAGGAATCAAAAGAGATACTTGTATTAACCTAGTAATTAGCTAGTCTTTCCTATGCATCTTTTTCTGCGTATCACAAAATAATCACAGATCCTTTGAGAATTTTTCAGTTTGGGTAACAATGAGAGAAAAGTGTGAGTTGTTGCTCATCAGTACTAGTAGAGGGCTCAGTTTGGTCTTACGACTTTGGCTGTGTGGACGTGCAGTTGTTTGGGAGGCATAGCATTAAGTTTCTTACTGTTAACAGCCTAGATGGACATGTTAGCAGACTTGTGTGAGGTAAGCGCTTCTGTTGATCTTAAGCTAGTATTCCTAATGTTAAGCACTTGAATGTACTTTTCACCCCGAATCTGGCATATAACACCCCTTTCAAACAACCTGTGCTTCATACTAAACATATTTCTGCAAACTTTGTAGCATAAATGCAGTTCACGATACAGTGAAGACTTTGTGCTACAGCTGGAAAAAGAGCTGGTCCAAGCCAGGCTGAGTGAAGCAGAATCCCATTGTGCCCTGAAGGAGATGCAAGATAAAGTTCTAGAGATGGAAAAGGTAAATCAAACCAGGACCCTCTGTATAAAATAGCACTAGAAACAGAATACAGGTCCCTGTAATTCTTTGCATAACTCTGCTCTAGAATCTTCTCTTCTGTGCTTTCATGATTGCAAGATGCTTTTCAAGCCTGTAGTTAATATAGCAAAAAAAACCCTAAGATCTGTTTACACTGGGAAAGGTTTGTGAAGAACAGGTAACTTTTTCTCCTGTTTCTGAAGCCCATTGCAGTGGAAAACTTGGAATCTGGTAAAGTCTTTACAGTACACATCAATTTTTTCAAAATTATGTCCTGCAACAAAAGCAGTAAGCTTAGAGTGAGCATTGAGGTAATGTGAAACTAAATAGTTTGGGAGAGGAGGAGGAAAGAGTTCAACATTACCTTTCTCAGGTCTTGAGTTCTTGAGTGTCTCCGACTTCATCCCATTACGGGCAGGGAAATAATATCTCCACTGTTTATGAAAATCTCTACTGCTTTTTAGGTACCATCCCAGCTTGTAACTTATCAATGCCACAGTTCGAGCTGTACTTAATCCAACTGTCAAACATTTACCTTTCTTTGAAGAAAAACTTATCTGCAAAATAAAATAGGAAAAAAAAAAAGGAAAGAAAAAATCCACTAATTAACCGCTTTTCAGATTCTTTTTTTTTATGCTTTGGAAATTCTTTCCTGGTGGAAATTTTAAAGAGCTATATATTCAAAAACATGGCCAGAACTTACCAGCTAATTAGATTAACCCACTGGAGTCAAGATTTTACTTTTTCAAATTATCTGAGGGACTTAATGGGAGTCTGACAGGCTAGTAGTGTGGTAGTTTTTACTGTACTGAACATTGGTAAGAATTCAGGATCTACAGTGTTTTCGAAAGCTCA